TAGGAAATGCTCAAATCTTATTTCTTACGGTAAATCGTGCTAACGCGTTTGTCTTCGGCAGTACTCGGGTAATTCAAACTGAGTTTAGCCTGACGTTCGTTTTGTTTATTTAATTATTGACATTTTGTTGGTTATTTATTTTTCAAATTACGCGCGTTTTCAATTATCATGATTGAACAATTATTAATTAATGTGATTCAACACTATTCCTTTTTATACGACAAATCAAAAGCCGATTATAAAGATCCCTCCAAAGAAGGCAACGCTTGGCGTACAATTGCGAATTCATTATATTAACCTCAGGTCCTCAACATTCATTTTTACAAAATAAGCTAGAACACATGAATTTTCCTAGATGCGATTTATACGTTTTGTTTTGAACCTCCTGAGCAGTCTGGGCTTACGCTTCGCTCTTTTTTTTAGGGCATAACATACAAGAATTGTTGAAGCGCAAAGAAGTAGTCCGTCCATTTCAAGCAAAATTAAAAGAAAGACAATTTGAATTTTGAAATGCGCGTTACTCTTACTGACAGAATTCGTTACGTGCTAATGCGCAAGCGCATCACTTGCCACTACGGAACTATAAATCGTATTATTTTCGTTAACGTAAGATTTTACGTCTTTACGGCTACGGAACTATAAATCCTGCTTAAATTGTCGGTGTAGTGGGAAATTGTCCAAAGGAGTTGCCAGTTGCCATGGATAGGGAAATATCGCAGGGCTCTTTCGCTTTCTACAGTGTAATTATCGCTGTAATTGAGCGATAATTGCATACCTCATATGGCATTTATGACATATGAGGGAAATATTCACTACAATTATAATATGTAAACAATGACTCAATACCTGTTGTATTTAATTTACTTAATTTATTTTGTATTCCAAAGCCGATTGTACAAAATTTTGATGACACTGAATAATATATAGGTGAATAATCCCGAAACAGATTTTGGGAGTCATTGAACAAATGCCTCGTGCATATTGCTTATTACTCATACCTACTCGCTATTCTTTGTCTTGCCATTTTTTTAAACCTTGCCACGTCTAGTTTTATAGTTATACGGTATATGTACACAGAAGTAGGTACCTATACAATTTCATTTTTTTTTTACTTATTTCCGTTTCAGTCAGACTAACCTCAAAAATTTATTAAAAGTGCGAATGTGCCGGTGTAGAGTGCATTGCCAACGAAAGAACCTTTCAACTTGGTGCAAGGTGCATCGCTAACGCCTTACCTCACTTTCGGAAAGCTTATAGCTGATGAAGTATTATATTATTCTTAAACAAAATATTGACGTTATTTCCACGTTATTTCGCTATTTATTGCAAAAATGTTGGTTGAAAGAATTTCTTAATCATACTGTGTATAATTAGTGAATGTTTTGGTTGGCAACCTTTCAATTCTCTTCGTTTTTCCCTGTTCGTTAAAAGTCGTGTCGTTTTCGTAAGCGTAAAGCATATGGTGGCGATTGTAATCATTTCATTACCGGAACGTTGCTGTGTAAAATTTCTTCTTGTATTTGTGTTATCGCTATCAGTTAAGTAGTTATGGGATCATCTCGACATAGAGACCGAAGTCGGGATAGAGAAAGAGACCGTGATCGTGACCATGAAAGGGGTCGCGATAGGGACCGTGACAGAAGGGATCGTAAACGACGTAGTCGAGACAGAGATCGTCACCGTGATCGTGAACGTCGAGATAGAGAACGAAGAAGTAGAAGTAGGCATCGCGAGCGTACCCCAGAAAAAACTGCAATTCCTGATGGAAACAAACTACTTGCGGAAACATTGGCCACGATTGCAGCTACAAGAAATTATGCCGCACTTGTAGCACAACGTAATGGCGAGTTGGCTAACGAGAATTCGAATTCCCAAGGGGAAGGTAAGGAGTGTGATTTTTAAACCTTGTTGCTTAATCCAATTGGTTAGAATCAAACTTGGAGGACGAGAGACGACGCAAACGAAGGTCTCGTTGGGCAGGAGGCGAACACGAAAAGATTTTTATCCCCGGGATGCCAACTATCTTGCCATGCAATCTCAGTAAGGAGCAGGAGGAAGCATATTTACGTAAGTTGAGAGATGTTTATTTAAATACTTACTGTTAGGGAAAGTCAGTTAAGAGTAATAGGGATAATTGGTAGACTTGCATGTTTTTCATAGGTTGTGGTGAGTATCGATGATTTCTTCATGTTTAATGAATCTTTATAGATCTCAAGGTTGTTTACCAAATAAACATTCACCTTGGATAATAAATTAGTCTTTGTAAGTATTTTGTGATTACAATCTCATTTAAATTATAACAGTTACAGGAACAATCGGATGCTGAAATTGTAACGTTCTAGGTCCCATATCACTTCTTTTTTGTGCTCGAATGATGAGATATCTTTGTGTAATCTATCATATCACCAATTACAATTTCTTCTAGGTTACGGTTAAGATGTGTAAATAAGTAAAACTTCTATTTACCGGACATCGTATTAAGGCTACTGTCTGTGGTTCACACGATGCAGGACAAGCGTATTTATGTACATGCATCATTGCCCTTTCTGTGCTTTGACTGTCGGCATTTGGTGCTTCTTTTAATTTTATTCCAATATCTACAAGCGTGTTAATCGGATAATGATAACACGTATTATTGTTCCTGGCAGCAAATTTTCATGACTGAATATGTGTGATTTTGGTCTCATTTTCTTGTTGAACTGGTCATTCAAAGTACAGAGTGTTTCAAGCTGCCGCATCCACCAACATGGGTAACACTGTTATTAGTGAGGATTTCACAAAAAAATATAAGTTTATGTGCACAGTAGGTAATGGTGCTATGAGGATGCATCGAAATGAATTACAAAGTATGTCGTAATGATTTTTTGGTAGGTATGGAGACCTAAGAAACATAATGAAAGATTGAGGAGATCGAAGATAGCAGATTTCCAAGCAAATTATTTATTTTAATGATAATTTACATGTTTATATTTTGAGAAAGATAATGAATAAAGTTACTGCCAAATTGTATTCTTTGAAAAATATTGTTTATGAAAGGTAGGTTGTGACAATTTATTATCAAAAACTGATCATTGTAAACTTGAATACGTGTATGGTGGGTTTATACAATCATTATTATTAGTTCACTATCGTTAGATCATTTAGGAATAATAGAAACAATATATGGTTTCGTTGGTTAGTCACACATCAATTTCAAAAATAACTGGGTGAGTTTATTTCATGAATTAGTATGGAGATTTCAGAAAGTATACAAAATACAAGTTAGGTTAAATGCGGAAAGATTTGCAGTTTTAGTGCATTACTCAGGACACCACTCTTTTGTTTTATTCTAAAAATATGCTTGGTTTGCTAGATATTTTTATTTTCAAAAGTTCTCCAACAATGGTTGCCTTTGAAAAAATTTAAGTTTCATTTCATAACTGACAGATTATAAATATTACCTCAAAACAGTCATATCAGTGCGAGTTAAATTAATTTCAATCTTGTAAGTATGTATCTCTATTTTTTATGTAGCATTAATAACTGAGCTACAGCTAGGGAAGTAAAGTCGAAACATCACTTGTTTTAAACCATGACTATTTTTAGAGAATCAAAGGTGTTCTGATAGCGTTTTCGATTGGCAACACTCGTACTGCACGAGTGTTGCACGAGACACTGAAGAAATCCATGTGAAAATTGCTCTCAATGGAACATAAATATGCAAGTATTATATCCCAAGTGCACGCCAAATACCTGAATACGTGCACGAGCGAAATACTCAGATCTGGTATTTGGCGTGCACTAGGGATATACGGGATGACTATTGCCTGACAAAAATTGTGCAAGATAAGAAGAATATAATGTTTGTTTCGATCCTTTCAAAGACATGGTTTTTCAAAAAGCATCATGAAACCGAAAATAAGCATGGGTTCAGTTACAAATTGCCATTTTACAAATTGTAATTTTCGTTAATACAATTTGGAATTATTTATGTAAGTTTCATTTTAGGTATTTACACATAAGCAATACTCGCGGGTATTGCACAAGTGCATGAATACTCGAGGATATTTGTCTGTTGCTAGGTGATTTCTGTAATATGCATTAATATGATTGGTTGAAATTTTCTGAGGGCAATAGTCATAAATATTTGTTGTCATTTGTCCATAACCTCATTTTAGATTTAGGTAATCGACAAATCTCTATTCTAAAAAATGACAAACGATTTCAGTATTGTTTATGATAAACGATGAGGAATATAAATTTGAAATTCCTGTAAAGGACCAATTTTTGGCGTTCAGTTTAATGAGTAAGTGTAACTTTTTGTAAAATAGAAGTTATGGCTAGTTCATCATCTTCGCTATCGCTAGATGACGACAAAAAACTCTCCCAACGCAAGAAACAAATTCAAATTGTCGCACGTTTGTTTTGAAAATTTGTTAACTAGCAGCTCCACGAGCTCCCGGACCTCGTACGTCGAAATTTGCACTGAGTGTGTAATTGTTGCATCACATTTGCCAATGGAACACAGAAAATTGCCCTAAAATCACCAATAGAACGTAAAAATTGCACGACACGAGTTTTGCCAATCGAAAACGCTATGAGTAAGTCACATAAAACTGCAAGTCTGCCCCGATTTAACCTATTTTGTATCTTTTATACATTCCAAAACCCCTAAAAATTATGATTCCTTCATAATTTGAATTGAAATGGAGATGAATTTTTAAAGTTCAATCTCGAACAGCTACAACTGAAAATTGTATTATTTTATTTCTTTAAATATGCCTGTCATATAACACATAACACCTTTTTATTATGGAAGTATATTGACTTGGAATATCCGCTATACAGGATATTTCAATCTTGGATGCATTTCTCAGCATTGTTGCGAGTCTGTATAATGGATACTGTTTCTATCATAATGTTTGAAGCCATTTTATAATTTAGTATTATATGCATAATTATCTTGATATATAAAATTATTCTGTAAGGATGTGTCTGACTGAACTCCTTCTAAACGGCTGAACGGCTTTTGATTTTTTTTTTCATGTCTTTCTGTATGACCCCAGATGTTCATTCTGGCGCTTTAGCTCTAATGTCTTGCTTGTCCGTGTACAAGTACACTTTACTTCTTGAACACATAGCTCTGGTGTTGAAAATTCAGGTGTTCATAGAGTGGTTACGTCATTTGGATCCTGAAGAAGTGATTCTACTAATCGCTTGCGTTCCCTTATCCTAATTCTTTCTTCCCTAGATGTATCTAATTTCTAATGAAGTGCCATTGGGAAAAGAACAAACTGCAAATACGCGCGAATTAGGTAAAAAAGTTGGCATTTTGCAGTCCGCGCATGCGTGGATTTAATTTTTTACTGTGTGCGATATGTTTACTTTTCCTAATGACATTTGTAGTTTTCGATTTTTACTACATGTGATATGTTTTTCTTTACTAGAAGCATCTATGGTTAAAATCTCAAAAAAATATCTTGATAATTAAAGAAGTTGGCACTGACTGCGCATGCGCACATCTAATTTTGCAATATCAGTTATGTTTGCCTTTAACAGAAGTACCTATATTAATAAATAAGGAAGTTGACATTCTGCAGTCTGCGCATGCGCAGTTTAATTGTCAAGATTTTTCTTGGCTCAGGCGTTAGAGCTATACGCTACCGAATGCAAAAGGAACGAACTTAATATCTTGAAAATTGTAGGAGTAGTTAAGGCCTCGGACAGACGAACAAACAGAGAAAGTGGTTGCAATAGCGCACCCAACTTTGTTGGAAAACGCTAAAAAACACTGACCACTAAAGAAATATCCCTTTTTCTTACCACTTCAAATCGTAGATAATAGTATTTTTACTATTATATAAATTGACATTATTTTGAACACCTGAAAATTTTGAAATAGACTACTTTGTACAAAATGATAATTTTTTGTGATTAATAAGACATCGTTATAAAAATAGGGGATGTCTATTCAAAAAGTTTAGTTCTAGTTATTTTTTCAATTCAATTTTAATGTGCATGCATTAACGAGCGACCCAGCTCATTCATGATTTTGTGCTTTCTGCCTGTGCACCCGTCCGTCTACAGGTCTCCATGATAACTCGCGAACGGTTTCGAATTTTCCATTTCTGTTCAAGGTAAATAATGGTCAAGGGACTAACTAAATTTTGGTCATTCGGACTTTGTGTCCATCCGTCTGTGTTTGTCGCTCGTTGTCTAACCCCAAATAATTAATATCAGCCTCATATAAAAAAGTTGCAAACGTCACTTTGGATATAACAATTAAAATATGGCAAAAACCGGCTAAATTTAGGTATAGGACATTATACATTATATAGAATTTTACGTAGCATCTAAAAATGAAATAATATAAGTGTCCAATATAGGGCATTCTAGGGACTAGCGAGAAATGGTATACAAATTTGGTTCAATGGCAGAAAAGTTGCGCAATCAAAGGCTAAGAAGATAACGTTTACAAACCTGGAAAATTTTTTGGTTTTTGAAATTTTTCTGGTGAATCAGCTGTTTCCACCGCCAAATTTCGCGCGACTGAACACATTTTTCGTACACCCGTTCCAAACTTAACTTTTTTGTTTACTTTTTCCCATTATCGTGTAAAATTAAATTAGTTTTAGGTGATGAAGTATAAACAAAAACCAATATTGGCAGGCCATGATACATGCGCGCGTTTGCTCTTCCGCTGACAATTCAAGGGGAAATTATTTGCGCTGAGAAAAATGGCGGACTCATCATCAATTTCATTTTAGCGCATTAGTAAAGAAAAATATAGCGCATATATAACTCTCGCCAGGAAAGATTGCCGGTCACAGCACACCTTGTGTCGATCTACAATCTAAGTTTTTCTTAAGATGCGAACGACTTCCAGAATAGGATTGTGCCAATGTTAAACGAAAAATCTTTTTGTTCAACATTGACACGATACTATCCCGGAAGTTGCTCACATCTTTAAAAAAAACGTACATTGTAGACCGGGATCAAGTGTTCTGTGACTGGTAATCTTTCCTGGCGAGAGGTTTAGCTATGGTATTTTGGAAAGTACTGATCATTGCATGGAAAATGCCCTAAAGTTACTCCCCTTAGGGCGGAAACCTTTTTTACTTTTTTAAGTACTGCCATGGTATTCCGATGGCATATTGTTTTTTTATTTATTGCCTTTATTTATTTACAATTACAAACAGCCATGCTTTATCTGGGATTCGAACTCAGAATCTTTGTAGCCAAAGTTGAAGACCTTTTTATGTTGAATTCAATTATGTATATCACTTTACGGTTTGATTATGGTTTTTTTTTTTTTTGGGCTTAATTAACAAAATTCCTATTAATTATAAATAATTAGCCAGGAAAATAAATTATATTATCAACCTAATTGGTCAAACTGCATCAGCGATTATTGCATGCTACAAAATAACAGTTATCCATGTTGGTACACTCATTTCGCTCTCTGTTAATAGTCATCATTTTTAAATTGTCATTATAGTTGCTGGACTACAAGAATTTCGTCAATAGTTTATCCAAAACAAATTGCAACGAGCAAATCCTTCACTCTAATGGGGAAACTTAATCTTTAAAGTGTCTTGTTTATGAGTAGGTTTTTTCATCTTTTTGATTTTAGTTTTCTCGAGTTCCCTTTGTACAGTGTACTCCAAATCGAGGAGTAACATACACATGCTAATGGACGGTATGGTAGATTATTCTATGATTAAATAGAATATTCTGATTATCATGTATAACAAACAACAAAAAGTAATGTGTTTAACAGTGCTTTAGTATGTGAATTTTGCATTTTTATTGCATGACATGTTAGCCACGGCAAAAGTAACTTCTTCACTTTTACGGAAGAATAGAAATTCGATTTTTTTCAATTTATTGGTATTGTATGATATAATTAATTGTGAAATATTTTGAATATGCGATTTCTAACATATGGGCGTTTGCCCTATCCTAACCCGTTTCATTACAGTTCAACTCCAGATAGAGGAAGTCAGCCGAAAACTTCGTTCAGGCGACCTAGGGATCTCACCGAATCCTGAAGAAAGGTGCAGTTCCTTTGCTTGCTTGCCAGACAGCTGAACATCACCAGTGGTTTGGCATCTATAAAACAGTCACAAGCATTTTAATTATTATTAAACATAAGATTTAGTAATAAGACTGTTTAAAAATTGGGCAAATAATCATGATATCACTTGATTCTGCATTAAAGAAGGCTCTCACATTTTAATATCGTCGCCAGAAGTGATGTTGCGTCATAACTCACAAGCATAGACATTTTGGATACCTAGGCATCACTCGTGTGATGACCATATTAATTCATTTGGTTTGCTTAAAATTTACAATCTGGTCATTTCAACAATGATCAAAATGTGAACCCTCTGTTCAGAAGAGTTGTTGGCGGTTTAGTCCGTTTGAAATTTATCATCATATAAGGAATGTCAGTCCTGTTTTCTAAATTAATAGCAAGACAATCTAAAAGTGTGCACGGGCAACACTGTCATTTTCTTTTATGTAATCTTTGTATATTCTTCTTTATCACGTTTGCCAATGCCATCTAGCTACATTATAAAAAGAACTATATAAGTACCTACGTACTTTAACTCTTCATACTCGGAGAGTGAGTTAGGGTTACTTATTCCTTTGTATGAAGTCTCCACGGGGTACAAGTCATTTTTATTAAGAACGCTACAGTTGTGCAATGATTATTTGCCTTTAATCTGATTAACAGGGCGTTAGTATTCTTAAGTTGAATAAATTTGACGTGTGTGTCTAAAATTTACCTATGTTGTAACAAATGTAACGCAACCTGTTAATTAATTTAAAAAGACCCATTTGCTTTTGTTACTTAATTTTACTACACAAAACAATTTCTAAAGGTTTCAAAAAAATGTTTGTTGATACGTTTTCAGGTATCTTCATAAATTTACGATTTTAGAAATTGGTTTTTAGTATAAGTGTCAATATCAAATTACAAACTATTTCATTTCAGCATAAAAAAATAATAATCAATCAACTTTTTATTACAGCTCATAACTACATAATTAATTTTCTTCTATAGCTTGCGGTTAAAAAATTGATCATTTTAAGAAATAATCCTTTCAGGAGGATTTCTCAAAAAAATTGAAAACCATATTTAGAAATTAGTTGCTAGTTGTACAAAATTAATTTTTGATTTTTTAGAAATTCCTAATGCTACATCACAGTTAATCAAATTTATTAACTACATAGCGTTCATTTTGATAAGTGTAGTGGTGAAGCATAGGAAATGTTGTTCAATTGTTATTAGTGTGTTCCTTCTGTTTGTGCAGATCACCTTCTCCAGAGCCTATATACAGTAGCGATGGGAAACGTTTGAATACAAGAGAGTTTCGAACAAGACGGCGACTTGAAGAGGAGCGTCACAATTTGGTTTTACGAATGCAGACAATTAATCCAGAATTTAAACCACCTGTTGATTATAAGTATGTATATGCTATATATATATTTGCTGGGTGGACATTTTGTGTTTGACTGTTTGGTGGCATTTTGGGGATGGCGCGATCAAAATTTGTAACTATACCTTTTTTGCATGATGCAACCCAACAAACGAAGAAAAATTGACAGGTCTTCATTTTTTTGGTCATCATTTTTAGCGCATTTCCACAAAAATTAAAAAAATGTGCTATTGTGGCCAATTTGCCCGTCCTGTCGCTACTAGTTCTTTATCTTAAGAGCTATTGTTCTACTTTTTCCGCGATTTGGTTCGTTATGATGTCAAGGCTTGCATCAAGAAAGGAATTTTTTCTGTTTCGCTTAAGAAAAAATCTATTTTTTTCGTATACCATAATTTTACACCTTTGCCATTTATCCTCGAGATCGTTTATAATGTTGTATCGCCGTCTGTCTGTCCGGGTCCAGTTATGCATGATGAACTTTTGTATTTGCGCAATCCAATTTTCTTATTTGTTAAGATATTTAAATGAAATTTTGTATGTAGGGTAGGATCACGAACTTATAAATTAAGATAGACTTCTAATGCTGAATTAACAAATGACACCTACATGGAGGCCGCCATGATGTGCACTCACTTGGCGCGAAATTCAAATCAACTAATAAACAAGCATTAACCCAACATTAACCTCACGTTTTCTAAATACATTATTGTGACACATGTCATTTTCCAAGGCTGCAATAGTCTCAAAACTGGAGCACTAGGAAAATTCCCCTAGGAAATAACTAAAATGTGCACATCATGGCGGCGCCCATGCTAGGGCCATTTTTCTACCCCTATGCAACTGTTTGATCAGCAGTCCATCTTAATTTATAAGTCGTGGGTAGGATTCTTCTTATAAACTGAAATTGAGTACCACGTCAAAAATGGATTGCAGATATGCATCTTTACAAGTGGGAAATGAATGCAAGGGAAAATGCGCTTTTTGTAAATCGTTTACGATTACTTTTTTGACTTGACAGTAAATGAACCTGGAATACGGCGATACTGTGTAATTTTCCGAGTTTCCACCGAATCCCATGAAAATTTGGACTTAGGTTCTACTTACCCTCCACTTCAAAGTTGAACTTGAGCCCAAGGTTGCTTTTTATTTTTTAGGGGAAAAAACTACCCCCTATTAGAAAAAAATCGTATAATTGTAAATTAAAGCGGATAATTGATTCAAATCATCTTACTTAATTATACAGTAACATTAAATTTAGATTTCTTTGCTATTTTTATTTTTTACCACATAAAATTTCTACCCTTATAAAAAACAACCCTTGCGAAGAAATGAAAGTATGTCTGTGCCTTAATAGCATATTGTGTGTATCTTACAATGCTAACTACACGCGTTTTGATGTATCTATGTGATTGGTTTTTTACTCATAAATCGGTTAGGTAATTTTTAAGCTACGAAGTGCTTTAAAAAACCATTTTGTAGGTTTTTTTAAAAGCTATAAGATTATTCAAATTAAGTGTATGCAAACTTTGAACAGCCATATCTTAACCAATTTTTGTTTTACAGAAAAACAAAAAAAGTGTTCAGAAAAGCAAAAGCTACATTTTTTATTCTTGTAAATTTCTTGTAAGTGCTTCATTTTTTGGTTATTTCACGTTGAAGTACTCGATTTGGAATTTGACGAATGAGAACCTACTTTTCATGAGCTACAACTTTGCTTCTACTGAGTCTACAGACTTCATATATAAACCATTTTGTTTGTTTTTTTATGAGCTATATTTTTGCTAAGAATACTTTTTTCGATACAATACTTACTTTTAGAGTTATTTGCGAAAAACAGTCTGAAAACGTTTTTTCAAAAAAATTGTTTTTTTCCTCGAGATATAATCAAGTCACCAAGGTCAATTTAATAGAAAATGTAACTTTATAGTTTTCTGGCCAGGTTTTAATTATACTGAATGAAAAGAAATTACCATTCGGACTTAAAATGACTTCAGATTAAAAAAAATACCTTTCGGCTCTGATGACCCAATTTTTGTTTACATTCTTCAAATAACATTTAAATACTCCAGAAGCATTTAAATACATTCCAAAAGTATTTCAATACTAAATACTTCTAAAAGTATTTGCGCTTTCAAATACAATATTAAGAAAAGTATTTAAAAACTCCAAACATAATCAGCTCTTACTGTGCATTAGGCATATAGGATGTAAGACTGTCAAAGACGTTTTTTTTTAAATATCTGGTTTGAGTTAGTAAGCTGTTCTGTCAATAATTTGGCACCTGATTTTATTTGAAGCCGTTTTAAAATGCGTTTTAAAATGAGTCTGAATATTAGTTTCGCTGTCACCTGAGATAGGTTTGTTTCATTTTTATACTCGAAATAGTTTACGAAATAATTTTTTAAAAAACCAATTACCGCGTTTTTTTACAACAAAGATGCAGTGAAGATATACGTTTTCTGGCCACAACAGTGGATGTTTGGGGGGGAGGGGGTATGATAACGATTTGGTTCCATAGACAGAAAAATTTCACGAAGTTATAAGCATGGCCATGTTTGTAGTTTTATTTAGCTTTATTTCACTTCTTATGCTGGTAATTTTTTATTGAGGATGTATTAAATTATATGGAATTTTTAACACTTGCCTTTAAGCTCGAATTTCGATAAAGTAATTAATGTATTCACATAAGAGGTTATCTATTTGATAAATTGACTGAAACAAAAAAAACTGGCCCCTTAGTTTATTTATATGACAAAAGAGATTTAAGTTATGCGTTGTATCGTTTCTCATACTAAAAATTATATTGTGACATGATAATTTTTTGTAATATCAGAAACGACACCAAAATGTACAGGATCATACTGTCTTTAAATCTCATTACAGTTTATTAATACAGTAGTCTCTCTAATAGTCCGGCGCACTTTGACGGGCGTGGTGTGGGTTTCAAATTTAGACACGTTATTATTTATTAAAACTGGGTTTATTTTTCATTTTTTTAATTTGGTACTACACTATAGAAATATTATTTCTTAGAGATAATTTTTTAATGTGTCATTTTTTATTCTAAAATACCTTTGATTAGTTGTTTTGGTACAATGAAACACTTGTTTTGTGCGTTTTAAATGTTCATCAACTTCCAGTAATCCGGTCCGATGTCTGCCGGATTACTGAGAGTCTACTGTATAGAGAAAGAGGAATGCAAAAATTAACTGCAACCACTGCAGCATTTCTCATTCCTATCGCAAGATTTGTTACAATTGCAATAAAAAAAACATATCCCCGTTTCAAAACTTCACCATTGGCCAGCAAAAGCCCAAAGATGGAAAAACTTGGTCATTATCAGAGTGTACTCGGCCTGGATATTTGCCTACTTGTTCCTTTTAATGTGCTAAGTTGGAAACGCACAGATGTTTTCATTTCATTTTGTTGCTGGCACGAATGAGTGGATAGATAAGCTCCAAAAGTCAGACAGGCTTCAACTCTTCGAACTGGATTTCTTATATAATTGTGTCTCTTAAAAGATTTATGGCTATTTGATACTGGGGTACTTTGTTGTATATGAACTTTTAGTGTAAAAAGGTTTATTGTGGTTATTCTTGCTTCTAGTCGGCCGCCTGTAATCAGGGTGAGTGATAAAGTTATGATTCCCCAAGAAGAGCATCCCGAAATCAACTTTGTCGGATTGTTAATTGGACCAAGAGGAAATACTTTAAAAAGTGAGGGTCATCTATTCATCTACAAACTTTAATATCGACATCTTTTAGCAATGGAAAAAGAAACTGGTGCGAAGATCATCATACGTGGTAAAGGTAGTGTCAAGGAGGGGAAAGTGGGCCGCAAGGACGGACAACCATTACCGGGAGAAGACGAACCATTGCATGCCTACATCACAGCTACCAATCCAGAGAACGTGAAGAAAGCTGTAGAAAAGGTAACATTCATTTTTATTCTTCGAATTGTACTAAAATCGATTTGTAGATTAAGGAAGTCATTCGTCAAGGCGTTGAAGTACCCGAGAGCCAGAACGACTTACGTCGTATGCAGTTACGAGAGTTGGCACAATTGAATGGAACATTGCGCGAAAATGAAGGTTTAAGGTGCAATAATTGCGGTGCAACTGATCACAAATCGTGGCTGGTATGTTTTTATAAAAGTTTTATTTTGTACAAAGTATTTTTAAACCGATTCGTCTTCATCTTGCGCTTCTTGTACTAAAGCTATAAATTTTCGTTTGAGACACTTTATAACTTTAGGACTTTGTATTTGTCTGATTTCCGAAGAGATGTATTTTAAAAATTCGTCTATTCCGTCGGACTCCCTAAATTGATTTGTATTTGTGTAATGATCCAGCTGTTCTACAAGTGACGGATTGTTATCCATAAGAAAAGGGTTGGTTATCATTGTATTGTCGGAATTGGTATTCGTATCTTCACTTTCCGATTGTGCAGAATCTAAAATGATTTATTATTATCTGCGAGTTAATTCTTATTAAATGCGTACATGTTGCTGGATATTCAAGTCCTGGTTCAATTTTCTCTTTTTTCCTAACTCTTTTGTATCTATCGCCATTAAAATATTTAATGTACGACTCCTAAAAAAAGATTCGTAAAGTAATGGCAGAACTATCAGATACTACTTACCTCAGACACCTCATGATTGTGGAAGTTGTTTAGCGATTTAACAAAAAGCTTCTCTCCATCCGGAGTTGCTGTTAAATAAAAGTTGGCTTCGCATTCTTCCCTGTAAGTAAATTTATTAACTGTGCGCTTTTAATTTAGTGGGACATTACAAAGACTTATTCTTTCTTCTAAAGACTCGTCCGCCTTGAACGCAAGAATATTTCAGTTGATAATACTTAATGTTCGGATTAATGTATCTGTCGGTTTTCTTTTTTGCTCCTTCTACTGTTCGGCAGTCTCTTTTCCAAAACTGTAAGTAATGCCGATGGGCCGATTCCTTTAGTAACTGATCGAATTCCTCATAAGTCTCAAACTCGTCATTCAGGTTTATTCCCAAAGGTATATTAATTAATTGTTTGTGTATTATTGAATTAGGGGTGTCTTCTAATCGAAATTCGTCCATTGTCATTTGAAATTCCCTCCACAAATATGGCCGAGGTTCGCGTGCGCATCCACGCCAAATTGTTCAGATCCGTTACGATTTTAATCAATCAAGTTCACAAATCGGCGATTAATTTATTATTACGACCGTGTTAAGTCAATTTTAGGAAAACTGGAGACAATTTTACGACACTTTGTAATAAAATAAACGCGAAGTTCATTGATCTGAATCTGACGGTTTAGGACGACGCATTTCATTACGCCGGCGTACGGTAACTGTAACGGTATCGTCATTTCCCGACTCTCGTCTTTCTTTTTTAATGGTCAGGGTCGTATTCTAATTCTATGGAAAAAATTCGACTAGCCGTCAAATGCGATTCTTCTTGTGTTAAACTTTGACACGAATTAAAAATCGTCTTTACAGAACGGGGTATTTTTTCGTGCTACCACGTATCGTTATCTATTGTCACATCGCGATAAAAATGTTGAAAAGTGTTTTTGGGCGAATCTGGCGCCTTTGTGGTTGATTTTAACGATGAATTATTTTCCTAAAATCTATTAATACCTGTTGCTCGGTATTTACTATGCAATCGTTATCCTCATTTCTTAAATACAGTTACATAGCAAGCAGGCCCGCTTTTAACGTACGAAATTTCGCTTTTTAAAGCTCTGCCATCTGTCGTTCCGGTCAAATTTTTCGGAGGCAACCCTTTATCATAGTATTCGCCATGAAATAGCGATTATTGTGTTACAGGATTTATTTATTTATTATCCCTCTCTTGTTCTGGGCTCTCACCTCAACAGGCTTGCGTCCAATTACAGAGTGACCCGCATAATGCTTTTTAGAGGTGCCCCTGTAGAAGGTCTTAAGTTGTTCTTAAACTACTCCGTTATTTACCTTACGAATTAGGAAAACTGCAGGAAAACCTAATTCGGAGTAGCCGGCAGAATACTCGAAACTGGTCTATGGCAATTCCCATCTCTGCTACAAATGAAAAATTCACCTCAACATTTAAACAGATCGGTGTAAATTACTAGTTTCGTTTTATACTTACATATTTTCAATTGTTATAAAACTTGTTCCTTAAACAATATGTTTAAAAAATGTCATTTTTGATTTTAATTAATCAGGTCCACGGTCGTATACACAGGTCTGGAAACTCGAGCCTGTTTCCTATGTGAGAAGTGAGTTCGCTACGCGCCAAAGTCGTCACGTACGGCGCATGAGTCGAGGAATGTTCTCTGCCAATTGTCATGGCTGATTTGCAAACAAACGCTCCTTTAAGAAAATATGATGAAACCGTGCATTGTGCCGAAATTCAAAACGGGGTACAGAAGTGTTAAACCTCGTGTTAAACAAAAAACTTCTGTTGTGCCGAGAGATGCGGAAATGCGTAAAAAGTGAATACTTACGATTCCGGAATGTGTTTTAACGATGTTTTTTTACGTTTTTCTATCGATTTTAACGGCGTGTGTTGAATCGGATAGAGAATAATTCGAAGCCAATTTTCGCCATTGAATGTACCGGGTGACCCAATAAGACTGTTCCTCGACCATATCTCGAGAACCGTTCGTCATATGACTTAGGGGTAAAAAAATTTATTGAGTAGGTCGAGGGGAAATATTTTCAAGTTCGAAAAATGACCAACAGAGGGCGTAACTGCCATCTTCAATTTTAAAATTGCATTTTCTTTAAATTTCGCATAATAAACTAAACATTGTTTTTTCACATTTTTAAAGAAAACCAGTTTATCTATCATTTTCATAAAAACAAAAACTCTGGTGTGCAGCGTTCAATTCACCTACTTTAACTTCTAACCGATTGACCGATTTTAACAAATTTTGTATGATTGACAAGAGCATTCCTTGGGCAATAAGAATCAACCAAAATATAGTTAATTTAGTTGAATCCTTTTCCGCCAGGGGGCTAGTTTTGACACTATGACCCAAAATCCTAAAAAAATCAAATGGAATGATACGACTATTTCTTTATGAAAAGTAGCCAAATAACATCCAAAGAGGCCAGTGAAAACCGTTTTTCAAAATCGCGTTCCTAACCTCAAATATTGGGAAAATGAGATTAATTAATTAATTAATAAAAATGCCTAAATTGTATCTTAAATTTACTTTTTACGTATCTCGGGTATTTGTCGATGGCAGTTACGCCCTCTGTTGGTCATTTTTCGAACTTGAAAATATTTTCCAGCGATTCTTCATGACCGATTTACCCAATAATTCTTTTACCCCTTAAGTCATATGATGAACGGTTCTCGAGATATGGCCGAGGAACAGTCTTATTGGGTCATGCGGTACCTATCCAATAGATTATAATGAAAAAACCTAAGTTTTTAAAGCTAAAACCTTTCCCGTCGCCTCTAACTCCGCCTACAGTTAGAGGCGACTCAGCCGCATATCTAGTCGTATAATTTAAGTCATCTGTAGTATGTTTTCCATTGTGACATCGTCCCTTTTAATTAAAATAATTAATACAAAAGGTTGTCGCATAGATTTAATGAACGTATGGTAAAAACCGCACGCGCTCTAGTTCGAACCCGCGACATCGCGGTCGTAAGTGATTTACGTACGCATATACCCTCTTTGGGTATGATATGACGCCTTTAAGCTTAATCCTGAGAACATACTTCGATCCATGCGCCACCTCGTAGCTGAGCGAGGGACTATGAGTCTTGGTCAACGCAAAATCGCCTTTGTATTTCGCAAGCTGCGCAACGTTTCAATCCCGTATTGGGACCGGTGCGTGTCAGTTCCATTTTCAACTTTGCAAAACAAAAAGGCGATGTTGCGTTGCCGAAGACCAAAACAGTAGTTTCCTGCAACATTCATTGCTAAAAGACCCAATTTTGTTTTTTTAAATTTTTTCATGATGTGAAGTTAACAAATATTTAAATTACGGCAAAAGCGCAGTCGACGTTGATAATGACCCCATTGTTGGTGCTTGTTCAAGAAAGACTCCTTGATCCATCTTTTTATTATTGTACACAAATTATACAATATTATAATACAACAAATTAATACACTCGACTCAACACGTATAAGGTCTCAACAAATTGTCAAAATATATTAGCTCAAAAAATTTTGTTTAAACGGTCGGAAATGGACTGTTCCCACATCCATGGGCACTTGTTTTTGGAGATCGTGAATATGTTATCAGAATTTCCAAAGCAAACTAAATGTTTGAATGAATTTGTTTTAAATGATAAATCTGCGTCTGCTATGAAAACAGTAACTTGATTATTGATGTCAAAGTAGGGTTAGTTACAGTGACTTTATAGACAGTGGCGACAAAGACAAGGAGCCCAGCCGCAATGTTGCATCAAAAATTCAAATTAGTAGGCAGCACACAATACACACAAAGTTTTTCTATATAAAAGTTGTTTAACATTTTATTTCCCATAATAAGGCAGCATTCAGATGTTTTTCATTAGGCTCATTTTATAGAGATTTTTTGTCTCTTTTCAATGATATAACATGTTAGTACCCTTATTCAAAAATTCAAAAATAAGTACTCTTCAAATCTGCAATAAAATATGGACTGTTCCATTTAAAAAATAAGTTTGATACGCCACTGGTGACCAGAAATTTTTTAAACATAATTTTGCTCCAAGATTTGTTCGGTATTTTTGTCACCTACTAAACTTGGTCTAAGAGTATTCTGAAATATAATTCAGTAATTATGTATCCTAAGGTAGAGAAATATTTAATGTTGGAAGTTAATTGTATTAATCACATTGGGAATTAACAAATTTTTCTATTTTTAGTGTCCAGATAAGCCCAATGTGACCAACAATATAGTGTGCTCCAGTTGTGGTGCTGCAGGACATATTGCCAGAGATTGTAGACAAAAGAGACCGGGTCAAGGCGGCCCACCAGTTACAGGAGATAAAGCAAAAATAGATGAAGAATACATGTCACTGATGGCAGAATTAGGTGAAGGTCCTCCACCACAAACAACTACGAGCAGTACCACTTCAACTACGACAAGAAAAATAACAACCGGTATAAATCTGTTTGAACAGCAAATGCAACCGAGACCCCTCATGCCACCCCCTCCTACTATCCAATCACATATCCTACATTCCACCATTAATGGAATGAGTGCTGCCCCATGGGCTACAGCCGCTAACTTAACCTGGCAGCCGGGACCTCCTGGTATAATGCCACCCCCTCCGCCACCTGGTGCATCGAGTCCTCCTCAGATAGGAATGAGTTGGATGGCTACAAATAATCAGCCTCCACCTCCTGGCGCTTCAACCGCTACTACTACTGTTACTTCAATGCAACAGTGGCAAAGCACTCAGTTTGTTTGGCCACCGGCACCTCCCAGCGCTAGCTTAGCGCCACCGCCTCCACCAGGAATAGACATGAGCAGCTTGTTGTCTGCCCCTCCACCACCGCCTCCATCTTAAACTGTGTACAAGTGTGCATATTTTCATATTGCAGTTTCTATTAAGTAAGAAATTAATTCTTAATAATGGGTAAAATGTAGTTACATGATTTTGTAATTTTAATTGTAGGATGTATTACGAGAAAAATTAATATGTAAGCATTGATGTTGATAATTTTGAATGTGGATGTATATACATAGGAATCTATGTAACAATAAAATACAATAGTGGTATACCAGAAAAGTATTGCATTTACTGTATCAAACCTCCCAAAATTGTCAGTGTTACTGACAGGTTTGGCCCATTACACTTTAAAATTTGTAATGATAATTTTAGCCACAAAAAACAATTACTTGTGAGTTTAATTACATTCTGCAAGGATAGTGGAGAACGGAGGTCGGAAGCATTGCTATCATTGTCATCTATTTTTTTTATTGACAATTTATTTGGAGGTACATCAACCTTTGTTTTTAGCACCTTAAAACTAGATTATTATTTTAATTAGTTACAGTTTATTAATTAGGTTGGTCGCTTTAAGGTACTGGTGGAGTCATTCGAATTTAGGGCTTCCTGGAGGTTGTTGGAGACTCTAAATGACCGACACGGAGCAGCATAAGTGGGACACTCCAACATAATGTGGCCCACTGTGAGGTCAAGTACACATTGAGAACATTGCGGTGGTGGTTCTTTGCTGAAGAGATGTGCATGGGTGAGAAGGGTGTGTCCCATTCGTAGACGTGAGAGACTAACTTCTTCTTGACGTCAGAAATTGTGATAAATAGGTCTCTGGATGGTTGGTTTTATTCGAGAGAGTTTGTGGTTTAACTGAGACCGCTGTCCATGTCTAATTGTTTCAAGAGTTCGATGTCTGGGTTTTCGGTAACATCCTTGGCAGCGGCGTCTGCGCACTTATTCCCTGGTATTCCAATGATGGAACCCATAGGAAGGCAGATTCAGTTGCATCTTGTAGATGAACTATTTTTGATTATTGGTTCTATTACTTGTAAAATTCTGAGAGTGATATAAAACAATAAATGGATTGGATGAATGTACTTTTTTTCAGGCCGTATAAAAATATGAAGTCCAAGATGTTTTTCGAAATGTCACAGTGAGTGGGCACCATCTAGTAGAGCTTAAATAATTCCTATGAGTAAGTGTCATTTATTTTTAGCGCATTTTTTAAGAACTAAAAAAATGTGTTATTGTTTGCGTTTTGTCCGTCCGGTTCCACTTCTTCCATTTCGAACTACTTCTAGGGGAATTGTCATTTAGTGGTGCCAAGTTAAACTTTAGAAAATGTGGGGGGGGGGAGGGGAGGTTAAAAATTAATTTTATTTCATACTATCTAGTAATCACCGCTTTCCCAGACTGATTTGAGTCTGGTAAATCGTATTTTACCAGACTGGAAATTTTGCCTAGCAACCGCAACTGACATCCATCTAAACGTGATATTTGATTGATTGATTGATATTTGTCAAACTACTGTCAGATCAAACAAATCAAGTGATCGACTTTTGCTTTTATTTTAATGTGTACCTACAACATTCTAATCAAAATGGTATTTTAATAGAAATAGAGCAGTATGAAATAAAATGTTTTACATTATTTGTATGTTAAATTAGTTAACGTTACTCGTTTCGAAATTCCTGCCTCAGCTACGCTTCGGCAGTAAACATCTCACTCGTTAACGTAAACCTTGATTTACCATACTCATATGTAAATAACTATTATTTCATTGTATTCCAATTAAAGGTCTCAACAAAAGGAACCTTTTCTGCCAACTACTGCCCTTCTTTCTGTCGATCAAAGTGCGGGGTGGAGGGGGAGGAGGGAGTGGAACTAGTTTTATCCTTCATGGTACTCTAATGAAAGGTCTCAACGAAAGGAATTAATTTCTACCAACCATAGCCCTCCTCCTCGACCTCTTATCGTGATAGGGTATATTCCCTTATACCTCAAGAACGGATTGTCAGAAGAGATTGAGACGTCTTCAAGAAATATATCCATTGGTGATGTCAAAACAAAAGCTATTTCGTTTAAAAAATGCGCTTTATCTGCACAAGAGATGTGCACAATTTATACTTGTTTTATATGTTTTCAAACAGGTTTAGAAGAGGATAAAAACGAACATCGTGAATTTTGTTTTTTGAATTCGAATATCTTCAGAACTGATCGGAATTATCGAATTTTTAAAACATATTTTACTAAGCCCTACAATGTGCAACCTTTTTTCTAGTTTAATCGACTGTATCTATTATGGTTACTGATTTCCCCATGCTGTTCATTCTTATCTTGGAGACACTATATTTAGGTTTAATTCAGAGACATGGAGAGAGGAGATCGCTGATCGACGAGTGCGCATCCAAGAAAGGGTGCGACCTCATGGGCGCTGCCATTTTTACACCCGTTGTGTCATGTTGTGTTTATAGTGGTTTTATTTTAGCGTGTGTTCGTGTTTAGGAGAGCTTTTTTCGAGGTTTAAGTGTTTATTTTGTAACGTCAACGTCACTGGCATTTTCTTTTGTTCATTTGGATTGAGATATTAGTTTCTTCCTACGGAGCTGCTGCCGAATAGAGTGTAGTGTATGAAGATTGCGTTAGATGTCTCTGGGTTGCGTCAGTAAACCTTTATAGTCCTGTTCAAATTTCGCGCTTCAATGGGTGTCAAAATGGCAGCCCCCTTGTTTTGTCACTTCGCGCAGTTTCATGCGCTATCTCCTCTCTCCATGTCTCTGGTTTAATTACGTACAGTAAACCAATACCACAATACCTTAATAATATGCATGTTTACTGTTACTGGCAAAGGTCACATATCCCCTATAACAGAACTATTGTATTAAAAGTGATTAATGAACCAATGATCTATTTTCTACATGTATTTATTTGCATGCATTTGACCACATGTCTCAAATGTTTACAATACAATTTCAATAAATATCTTCTATACACAGACTACCTATATACAATGTCTACAACACACAATTTTTTATATACTAAATGATTCTCCACAACCACACGTGCCCTTTATGTTAGGATTATTGAACACGAATTCTGAAGCTAACTTTGATTCCACATAATCCATTTCGGTGCCTGTAACAGATATGATTTTAGTCTAATCATGCCAGGAAGCATTGTAAAAGATCTCGATAGAACTTTGTTTTCTTACCTAAGAGTGTTAATTGAGCTTTTTTATCAATTATAACTCTCACTCCATCCTGTACCACTTCTTCATCCATTTTATCTTAAAAAAAAATTTGCACTTTCATCCTAAAGAAATTGTTTACCTTTATGTGTGGCATAATCCAATGTATACGATAGTCCATTACACCCTCTTTGTCGAACACCAATTCTCAATCCAACCTGTAATTGCTACAAATAATTAGTTGGATTAACAAAATTATAATTTTGCGTAATAGATGTATATCTCCGAGGGCTATTACCTAATTTCTATGCCTTTTGTAAATTTGTAATTGTGTTTCATTAAGAGGAGCACATAAACTTTAACGAATATGTATATCAATCTCTATGAAATACCATTTTCCTGTTATGGAAAACCATGTGAAATGGATGCATATTGCAAAGTTTGCACTGGGTCCTGTCACTCCTGCTTCATGGTGAAAGTAACCAGTTCATTTAATTCAAAGTTTTATGTTCTCGAAAAATTCTCAGATACATTGATTAGTATTGTGATTTGTGACGTAGCACGTATGGCACCAGCATTAGTTTCTTTTATGAAACACCCTGTATATTACAAATTACAATATTCTACCTTAACATTCTGAAGAAGGCATTTTCGTTTTACCCTAACTGATGTGTTGCAATCAGATCGATTCCGTTCGTTTTGACAAGCAAACTGATCCTGAACTTAAGAAATCACTTGTAAGTGATGTAGCTTTTGAACTACATCAGTTTCAAATTCACTTAAATCTAACCTCAAACATTGATTTTGTTTACTTTTCAAACCCCCAAAACGTTTCTCAGTCGGTCGCATTCATTTTGAACAAAACGGGTAAAATGAAAGCCTTGTTTGTGTGGTAACAGGCCAATTGACTCATCATTTTTTTAAGATATTGCACTTACCTACTTTTACAAACAAAAAGAAGAAACACGAGGAATAGAAGTTATTTATACTAGACTTATTGTTTTCGTATATTGCACAATTTTCAACATATTAAAAACTTGTTCTTTAAGATGGAAGTGCCACAGAACTGCAAATTCTTTTATAAAAGCAACCATGTAAAACTAATAGCGTTTTCGATTGGCAAAACTCGTACTGCATGAGAAACTGAAGAAATCCATGTAAAAATTGCTCTCAATGGAACATAAATATTCGTAAATATTTGTTGTCATTTGTCCATAACCTCATTTTAGATTTAGGTAATCGACAAATTTGTATTCTAAAAAATGACAAACGATTTCAGTATTATTTATGATAAACAATGAGGAATATGAATTTGAAATTCCTGTAAAGGACCAATTTTTGGCGTTCAGTTTAATAAGTAAGTGCAACTTTTTAAAATAGAAGTTATGGCTAGTTCATCATCTTCACTATCGCTAGATGACGACAAAAAACTCTCCCAACGCAACAAACAAATTCAAATTGTCGCACGTTTGTTTTGAAAATTTGTTAGCTAGCAGCTCCACGAGCTCTCGGACCTCGTGCGTCGAAATTTGCACTGAGTGCATAATTGTTGCATCACATTTGCCAATGGAACACAGAAAATTGCCCTAAAATTACCAATAGAACGTAAAAATTGCACTAGTGCAGCACGAGTTTTGCCAATCGAAAATGCTATAAAAATGTTACCTATAAGGTCATGAAATCTTACACAGTATCTATATGATTTTATAATCTAAAAAAAACATATGTAAATAAAAGACCCAGGTGAGTTCACTCATAATACCTTCAAGATGCTAAAGGTAGGTATGCCAAATTACAGTTTATTTTTATATGCATGACATTACATTCGTAAAGCTGAGGTGTCTTAACATACGAGATGAAAATTTAAACAAACTTACATAGTCTTTTTTCCCGTCTAGAATTTCTTTTACTTTATTAACTGCAGCTGGAGTCTAAAACAAACCTTATCTTAAAATTAGGTTATGTACGTATAAAAATTTGTTCAATAACCAGTATCAATGCCGCTCTAGAAGGTAATAATTTTCGACCTTTCATAGCGCGAACTGTTGCGGTAGCGACTAACTTTGTTGCCATTATCTACAGAAATAAATTTGGTTCAGTTATTCATAAATTTTACTGTTCACTTTGAAATATGAGGTTATGATATGATAGATACCGCAGTGATAAATTAAAAATTACTAAATCCATCTTTTGTGCTACAGTTAGAGATGGGGGTGTCCAGGAATTGTGTGCTGCTTGTCCAAAATTTGACAAATGACCTACCGCTCAATATCTTTTCAGCATGTTGTAGGTTTCGCTATTATTGCGGGCAAATCTGTTGCTGTACAGTTGAACTTATTGCGTCTTAAGACCTCTTGACATGGAGCACTAAAAATTGCAATTGCAGGTAAGTTGAAAGAGAAATTGCGAAAGACATGCGCAATTCAAAGTCAGCCGATCAATTGCTGCAAGAAACCGATACCGGACCAAAGAGCCAGTATTTTTCGGATTTCTCTTTCTGGGTCTCTCTTTTGTAGGTAGAGTAGATACGTTGCGCTTGTGAGAGGGAATTTCCGTTATTACACATTAGGTACACATTATTGCTCTTAAAATTTGGCTATTATTTGTAAGATGGATATTAAACTTAATCGTGCGCATCACCCATGACGATTTTACGTAGGACAAATTATAAAAAAAAGGCAGTATCCAAGTGTAAACTTGGCCACGCTGGGATTCAGGTAACATAAAATATATGTATTTTTGAGTGAGAAAGAACGAAACGATAATCGAATTAAAAACAGTAAGAAGGTTGAAGAATATGGGTTCAACTTCAAGGATCAAAGGAAAGTAAAATAAACGACCAGTTGAAATGAACGCGCAAGCGGAAAAGAAGTTTCAATGAAACCTACACAATATGTTTATGCAAAATACTAATGTAGGTATTTTAACTTTGTGTATTACTTTTTCCTAATAGTTATTTGTTTCATTACTCAGAAGGTTGCTGGACTCCGCTAACGCGTCGTCCAGCAACTGTCTTCCTCGTCCCGAAAACTGACATTTTTTGTACGAATAAAACATAAAATTTTTTCTCCAACCTCCTTTACTTCAAATTATATTCGAATTTAGATTCAGTCACAGTTTCACTACTACAGTACCTATAAGAACTTTTGCTTTCTTGTCCTCACGTGTCATGCCACTCTAGTTTTTAGGTTAACTTATAACCTATTCGTTCTTACTTCTTACTTCTCACCTCTCGCGACTTTGTAGGGAGCAAATCTTGAGGTAGCATGTTCTGCCGTTTCTATAATCTCTGGCGGAGTGCAATCCATGTCGCTATCAGTTTCAGTCATTTTATTGTATAAACAATTAATATTGTTATATTTTGTATTGAAATAAAAAACTTGCCATACAGTTTTTTAATTAAAATTAATTGCAATTAACTTTTTCAAATTTTGAATTCAAAATGACAGATATAGTGCAATGGGTCTGAAGTAGATGGCGTTACGCGCGACGGCGGGTTGTATAGTATTAAAATTACGTTCACCGAATATGTAAATTACGTTACACATGGTTTAAATAAAAATAGCGAGCGTAAATCATTTTCAATACATGTACATACGTATAGGTAACATCATTATTTGCATTGAATATGCAAAAATATTTGATTTGTATGTATAGAAATATCTTACAACCTGCAATGTAAAACGATGTCAATGTGACATATCTCCGTGATTGTAATTTTTTAATTGGCCAACTTTCAAGGTCAATTTCTTTTTGGTACTAGGACCAAAAGTATCCACTTTTTGTACAGTTGCCATGGTGAAAGCGATTAATCCGCAAAACGTCAATTTTAGGTACCGAACACTGTCACAAAATAGCGTCTTATTCAGGTGGTTGGAGAAAAAATTTTATGTTTTATTTGTGCATGTTGGAAGTCTTAAAAAACAACAAAAAAAACTGGAAATAGAAGCGGAACTGAAAATTATTATAGTATTATAGATGGTTGCGTCTTATCATAGGTAGAAGAAATAACGGGCGATCAAAAATGAGTTGCTGCCAAGTGACCTTTGGAAGTTCAAGTTAAGTACGATTTCCCATGTAAACAAAAATTCCAAGGGTGATTCGAAAGCAACTCATTTTTGATCGCATATAGTACCCTTTTATTATAGGTAGTATGAAAAATAATAGTGATTTACATAAAAGTCAGGAAAATGACACATTACTAGTGAGGAAACATTGAGGCAAGAGGAGTCGGTAATGACTATGAGTCAATTGGTCATTATCAATGTGACAGGTGCGACCGGCAAAGTGATCGACGTGCGGTTTACACCCTTCCAAAAATAGAGTTTCCATCTCAAAACTCTACCAACTAGGACAGGAAGCGTGAAAACCCCGGATTTAGGGACTATAAACCCGGACATATCAATTGAATTTGATAAAAAACATTTTCTAAAGACATAAAACATACAATTAAAACAAGGTGTACTCTATCACGAAACAAAATCTTTAACTGTTAAGGCGGCTCCACACGCAACGGAAAAACCGAAGGCATGCCTCGAGGCGCAAGACCTCTAGGAAAACCTCTATGTGTGTATGGAGAATTCTGTTGAGGTTTTCCTGCGCATCTGAAGCCTGGAGGCCGGAAATTTCAATACAAAATCTCATTCGATTTGCCTCTTCATTTATAGCGCCCCAAGGCCGATCGTATTGTGTGGATGGGTGGGAGGTAGGCCTTGAGGCGATTCCGTTATACCCTATACGTATCCCGTGTGTCAACCACCAAACCTGGCCATAGACACATTTAAAATTACACAATTTTTAAGAAGAAATATGAGTTTTGTAATGTTCCTAGGGGGTCTATCAAGCCGACACGGAAAACGTTGACTTACCCTATACTTACGGTTGGCAACTCTGGCAAAAACTACAAGCAGAGCCACCTACCTTTCAAGTCGAAACGATGGTAGTCTCGCGGCACTTTTGAATTTGGATGACAGTCGGCTCGATATGGGTGGCACGAATGGACTCCTACGTTGTGTAATCGGTTCTTTTATGTGTTGGGACGTGAGACATAATCGGGAAGGGAATTAAATAAAAGACAGAACTTTTGTGCGTAAGAAATGACAAGATCAAATAAATATATTAACGCACACACAAGACCATGCCAGGGAAACCTTCTACGGGACTAAAACCCTGGCATAGGCCATACAAATACATAAAATAAATCACCTACAGCAATAAAATGCAAGAGAAAATACACATAAATAAGACATCTCAAATGGTATGATAAAAATCAGATAATCAAATCAAATGCAATTAAACAAGTTCATAAAAACAAAATACACAAGACATCATAAATGCAGTGGAAAACATGATAAATCAATTCAGTGCAAAAAAAACATCAAAATACCTGTACGATCAATTGAGATAACACAACTCGTAAAATAATAAATTGCATGTACATAGGAAACATGTAAATGGTGTGGCTCTACTCCATCCTTCAGTTAACATAATTTAATTTAACACGAAAAGTACATGTAAGAATGCCATTGGTCCATAGCAAGTATTCATGTGAAAATCGATTATCGCTCAAACAAAACATATTTTAAATAGAGGAAATGTAAATGAGAGGGCCCCCACTCGTATTGCTAAGATGTTAAGAACTACAATCCGCACGAGACGAGTATGCAACAGATACAGCGAAAGATCTAACTGCATTAGGTACCTACTCCACGGAGACAGAAATACCCACTCGCACACACAAACATCGAAACATCAAATACAAGAGCCCCCCCTTCGTATAGCTAACGCACAAGAACTGTAGCGCGCCACGAAACAGAAAGTAACAGATACAGCGAAAGATCAAACTGTATTAGGTGCTTCCCTCACGGAATAGTTACGGGTCAATCGAACAGAGCAACATCACACCGATAATCAACTCCTCATGAATAACAGAAGTAAATACTTAATTAAACAAAATAATGGCATAATCATCTGTACAATATAAGACACAAACATGATTCATCTAACGGTACTCAAAACAAAGGCATGGAGTACGCCATGATTCAGATATCGTAGTTTATGCAAAATCAGCAAAATGTAAATATCACATTGTGACAAGAAATTCAATGATTAAATATCTAGTACAAGAAAGAATAAAATGGTTACTACCTGTAAATACATCTTCAAAACACCACCACCAAAAATAATCAAGAATAAAAAAAAACCGGGAAAGCATGTGTCTTCCGTCGGCCTCGTCGCCATCTTCTCTCCATTCTCCTAGCTTCGTTACGAAAATCCCCTAGTATTCGGCATCTGCGCAAAACGGTCGTTGGTTATATACAGAGCATATTATATTTTTGTTTCGGATGTAAATGTGTGTTGCCTAACCATCAGGGTGGATTATCACAGTTTCCATATGAAATATATGTCATATTGACACACGGTGTAGTTTTGTGTGAAAAGAGGTCCGTTGCATCAAGTTTTCATATAGTCATGGCCCGTGCAAAGCAAAAACAAGAGGAATTTATAGCCAGAAATCGTAATGTGGCACTCAATCTTTCATGAGGTGTAATTGCGGTCCTCATTAAGGTGGATTCATAGCTCTCCGTTCATACGTTTCCGTTTGTCCGTTACCCAATCAGAACGCAGTAAATTTTTAAACCGTACGTCGTCCATTTTCAACGGAAAAGTTGGTTGAAGTTGAACATTTATGTTTCCGTTGGTCCGTTTTTTAACAAGAGTAAGGTTATGTTTGTTATATTGCTGACGGTTAAGAGCAAATTTAACAGTGTTCGCCTATTACGTTCTTCGCGGTGCTAATCTGATAGTAGTTTCTACGTACTGAAGATCGCGGTGGGTACAGTACAAAATAAAATTTAGGTTATGGTTATACCTTGTAAACGGCCGATAGGGACGGATTGCTATGAACCTTAACAAATTGCACTATCCGTTTGACGGATCAACGTAACGGATGAACGGAGAGCTATGAACCCGCCTTTATGGTGTCCTTTTTGTAAATGATCGACGTCACCAATGATAAGAGCCTTAAGTATGTGTCCTCATCCATCCGCAAATAATTGTGCCAATCTTTCGGACTGAACCTCAGGTCTTTTAATAAATTTACTGAATTTACATGGAAGTAACATTTCCTTTTCTGTAACCAGTACCAGTCTTTAGTCCAGAACTTTCGCTTCACTC